CTGAAAAAACTAAATCTGTAGCAATTACATACGTTACAACACAAACCCCTCCATTCAGAAGCTTATATTTTTCTTTAGACGATGTCTCATGGAACCGGACACAAAAATTTTGAAATAAATAGTTTTCTTCCTAAAAAGTATTTGAAATGTTGCGGATGTTCAATATTTCGAAAAAATCGTCCCGTTGTTCCGTTTTTTGTGCACACGCGAGTTTTCGACATTCAAACATTCATAACTTTCTTCATAATCAACTTTTTGCAGATGTCTAAGGCTAATTAGAAACTAAGATTTAGAGCTTCCGAATAAGTGCTAAAACTTCTTGAAATAATCACTCGCTCAAAAAATAGTCCCGTTGTTCCGTTTTTCCACCTTGATTTTTTTCAAGCCATTTTCCTGGACCGCGACTATGCAGTCTTCAAAGGCCCATAACTTCCTTCAAAATTAATGTGATGAGAAGCGGTAAAGATTGTTGGAATCCACTCGAAGAGTACTTCATAACAACTGTGAAATTTTCCTGAAATTCCTTTCTTCTGCCTCAATTTTCCTACGGCGGTTCTCTAGAATTCAACTCGGCAAGTTTGCTACAAGTTCCGCTTATGTTTGACTTGAAAGCATCGAAATTCCTTCAGGGAGGTTTGTCTGCTTACAGCCGCTGACAAAGAAGGCGTTTCTATGGGAAAACGCCTGCTCGGATATACGCGCTCGCATTTGAAAGTCCTCCATTTTCCTGAAAAGGTGTTAGTATCGTGATTGAGTTGCACTGTACTGTTGTACTGTCATATGGTACTCTTGTTTCACTTCCCCATGAACTGCTCTACACTTTGTTCTCCTTGGGATTTCAGGAATGTTCGATCATCGAAGACAGACCATGTTTTTGCACTACGCTGTAACAAAGTTTTTGGCTATTGTAATCTTGATCTATGCTGTCGAGCGAAAGCGCCGTCCGTGTATTAAGGATAATAATGGCTGATAGTGAGACTTATAATGCTCTGCATGCTCTAATGCTCCCATGGAGCTCTTGTCTGTGTGACTCTCCGACGGTGCAAGAGCTCCTGGAGAACATTAGAGCGTGAATGTGCACTGCAGGACACTGCACTTTTCAAGCCGTCTTGCAGCCCGTCTCTCTAGATACGACCCCCTCCCCTTTCGTTCGACCGAATACGACCCCCTCGTTGTTCTTTGCGCAACGGGCGGTTGACCCTGCGGTGGGGCTTGCGGACGAAGGCGTGACTTGTAGGTCGGACGAGTCCCTTGCGTCTTTGTCGCGCACATTCATGCGGCAAAATGGGCGGACATTCAACCGGTTGTACGCCTGGTTACGACCCCTGTATGGAACAGGCGAGCCCGCCTGATCGCAGAGCGTGCCTTCAAGCATAACTGATAGTCTCTCACGTGTACCTGAAGGATGTGGAAAGGGCACTATCCAAATAATAACAGAGGTGCCCCTGGGACATAATCCTCAGTTGAAGTAGCTTGAGCAGAATAGGTTGAGTGCGCTGAACCTCAATTTTGACTGTCAGAACTGCCCGCATAGGTTGATACAGGTTCGTATAATGTATGCTATACGAAGTTATTACGGAAATTTTGTGAAATCATTACGGGTTGGTCCTACCCGGTGGCTTCCTACCCTTACGAAAACTTTCAGTGCTGTAGATGAAACGAAGTTTGCACTAAAATGCTCTCCCTTGGAATTAGATTTATAGTAGGTTAGGAATTAAAGCAACACCCCCAGCTGGAAATTTGTGGGGTCACAGCGGTTGATAATGAAGTTGTGGATGCCGAGTTGACTAAAAATGAAAAAGAAGCAAAGAAAACCGTCGATGAAGCTCAAAACGAAAATTCCCTTTGAAAAGGAAGGGGCGGGGCCAGACGAGTTGTACGAACTTGCCTGCTCCACGGCTCAACTAACCCGCGCGTTTTGAATTAGCCGCTACGCCGTAATCCACGTTGCGTGTCATGGGGTGTGCGCAACTCGTCCAAATGCTAAGATTAGTCGCCAAATGCTGACTTTGTAAGACCCTAGCGCCATTGTCGCGCACTTTCGAGCCGCGACAACGGCACATCTGTGCTACTCGTGGGCTACTCTATCCCACCCACTGAATAGATTCTTCGACACGACTTCTGCTGGGGGTGTTTTAACCCATTGAACTCAATGATGTCGTGCACTTACTTCTTTCAGTGGTTTCGCATCCTTGTGTTCAACTCCAAGTCCACCAATGTTCACAACCTTAGGCGAGTGTTGGTCTGGGGAACTCGTACAGTTCATTAGAGTTTGGCCATAATCTGAGTTGGGAATTATTCCTGAATACTTCATAGAACAGCCACAAAAAGTTCATAAATTGATAAATATTTCGGCAAATTCGCTGATATTTCACTCACCAGCGGACATTTGCTTGCTAGATCTATAATGTCCGGAAAGTCCGGATCCCAATACTCTCTCATTATGGCTGTCTCTTTATTGACAACCATCCTAAAATTTTGTAGCATGGTTGCACGAAGTTCGTTCTCATCAAATTCAATTTGATGATGAGTGATATTTTAAATAATGTAAGTGATAAATAACAAACTTACACTAAAATTAAATATCAACAATGATAGTAATTAAACATTTTTTTATGATAAACAAGAGGAATACCGAGGGAACAGTATGTTTCCGAGATTGTAGCCGATAAAGCTCTTTGTCCTCTCATAGAAGTTCATTTCATCCAAGCTCTCCATCATCAGAGCTGAAAAGAAATGCTCATTACTCTATTTATTGTATCTTTGTGCCATTTTGTATACTTCCATCTGTTCTCATGAGTTAATACAGAGTGGTGCGCGTGGCGCAGTGGAGAAAGGAGCTCCATGATGCTTACAAACCCGAGCGATCGAGTTCTGCCCAGTTCAAAAAAGCGTTTCACTCACGATTCTTCCCGTTAAATGTGGTTCAACAGTCATCGTAGTATGTATTGTAGAAAGGCTAGAGCAGACTTTTGATAGCTTTTCTCATCCATAATTAAATGACCGAAACAACACCAACATTCCTTCATGATTTTCCTACTGTGGATTGCACGGCTTATCCATAAGATTCATTGGTAGAGCATTGATGTGAGTGCTGCTCGTCGGAAAGAGCGTGAATATGGCACAAAATTAGTGTGAGTCAAGAGATGGAGAGGTATAAAGGTCGTTAATTTTTTTGTAATAGATTCTTGTTTACTTTTTTATGAATCAGATGCACCTAATTTGCAATAAATCAATTCCTTCTAAAGTGCTGCTTCAGTAAGCTTGGAACACTAAAGAAGAACATTTAGGGACCTTTCAGCTCCATCGCATGGCATCGTTTTTCACCGCAGTGCAGATTGACCTCGTACATGGCTCATTTACAAGAGCGCAACGAAACATCTTATCTCATTTGTTACTGTTTTCCTGGGGGAAAAGCTTTCAGTGGTGTGTCTGATGAGGAAATTGTACTCACGTGGAACATAGCTGGGAAAAGTTGGAACGCCGACGAGAGTTCCTATCGTGTCCACGAGTTGCCCACTGAAAGAAAACTGTTGAATGACCGGATAGGGCAATCGTACAGGTTGAGGACGTCATTTCCATCATATCAAATTATAGCAGAACTGTGGATTTATCAGAGGCAATAAAAGACCTAATCAATTCAGAAGTTGAACTGAACTGAACGCAAATTAGGCTGTCAGTGCTAGTTTTGGGAGTTGTCATGATCAGAACGAGGGTACAGTGTGAATCTTTTGAAAACATGATAAATGGGTAGCCACTTGTTTGTTCGTAGGTTGAAGAATTCTTTCCGAAAAGAGGGAAGAAAATTCTTGCATTCTTTCCCTACATGAATGTGTCAGTAGTGATCACTAGAGTCAACGAACGAAGTTTCATGATTCTCTTCCCGAGGAGAAAAACTACACTCTGTGGACAGTCGAAGGTAAGTCGTGCGGAGCCCAAAGGCGGGGCATGGAAAAGAAGTGCCCTCTGGGGTGACCACGCATCTGGCGACGCATTGGAAGATGTTAGTGGAATAAGTTAAAAGATCAAGAAGAGTTTCACAAGAATGCTGGGTTGTGAACAAAACTTTCGCCCCAGGCGGGACTAGAACCCGCACCTCTCGTTCGTCTTAGTAGTCCTTTCGGTCTTCCGAATTGTTTACCGAAACAAATGCATTCTTTCGTTCAGTTCGTTCTGATCGGTGACGATGGGTCTCAAGGTAGTGAGTTATGGGTCAGATAGGAACACATGATTTTTCCGGTAAGGATTCTAAGAACCTAAATAAAAGAAGACTGCGGAAGCTGGACAAAAGAAAAGCGGCAAATAAAGATAACAATTAAATAAATTTTAAACAAATTTCTAAAAAGAACGTGCTGGAAGTGGGATGCTTCCAAAATTTAAACAATAAAAAATGAAGCACCTTTGTGGCCCTGGTCAGCTTCTCTACGTAAGTTAAGTACAACTTCTTTAGAATGCGTCACACACTTGACTTCCATTTCAAATCATTTGGGATTTGAATGTCCAACGCCACGTTAACTATGCGATCACTGCTCAGACAAGGCGGAATCAGTTAATTCTCGCGGATAACTCTGAAACCTGATGACCGATTCTGGTCTGACTTAAGACTCAGTTACTCAGGCGTTTCTCGAGTGTGAATTTACCCCTCGGACCTGCGTGTTATAGCGCCTGCATTTTGCTATGCCGGTTCTGCTACAGGTTGCTAGTTCGACTTCTCCATAGAGGGCGTATTATTATTTCAGCGCGAAAAGTGGTCATTATCCCATTGGCAGCCGTGCTGTGCCTATTTTGATGTTGTGCTAGGTGGTGGGAAATCGCCCTAGAATCAGGATCTCTAATCACCCCTTGGCCTTATCTAAGATTCGAATGAAGTGGCCCAGTAGTAAGCCTATGTTAGCGCTGTTTTTTTAAGAAACTGTTGCGCAAATTGTGTGTGGTCAATTCACGCATTAGCGATTCAGCAAGGGTGAGGAGGAGGTGCGGTGGCAAAAGGAGAGGAATCACAGCTGCTGGCGTCGCAATTTTCTTGACTTTTTGATTATTCTACATCACATTGAGAACTGACTCATCAAAGAGTACAAAATCGCAGAGGCCTATACTCCACAGCTTATCGTTTGAGTCACGGAAGAAATCTTATGGAATGCATTCTGCGTTCAAAAAACAACTTTGGATTTGGAGGTCAGCTACATACACACGTCACATTTCGAAGCTTTCCCCGAGGGGCGTTGTATTTTCGCCCAACCCAAGAATCAAAGGGGATGTTGTGGTTAGGCTGCCACGGTAAAAATCTCGGTTTGAATCTCACCCCTTCCAACTAAGCTTTCCTTTCATCCGCGGTCAGGCAAACTAGGCTCGCATGGGGCGGATAAAGTGCAATGGATTCTGAAAGTTGCTCTTGAAAGACACTGCGTAGACCGAATCTCATCTATTATGTTTTGGATGCCACCTGGATTTGAATAGGAACCAAATTTTCGGTATACTTTTGAAAAGTATAATATGATCAACGGCGAAAGTGTTATTCAATATTTCTTCGAGTTTATTGAGCCATTCTTGAGAAGTTGAGCACCATAAAACGTATGGAGGTCCACATTCACAAGAGAGTAAGCTTGATAGAGTTGTGGCTCCACAAGAGGATTGAATTAATCTAATGGAATGGATCTAATGAATGTACCAACAAGCGTTTTAGTTACTTAGAGGGAACATTTACTAACTATAAGAAAACAGTAAGTTCACCTCAGTAACCATATCCATGTAGGAATCTTCGCCGCATGGAATGAGCGCAATTGGGCAGGTGTGATACATGTGGGCGAATGCGATGTCGAATTTCTTCGTCGGTGAGCCACTTCATGAACTTCTTGTTCTGCACTGTTACTAAACTATTGGAACTGTTTTCGTTTTCGGAGCCAAACAGCTTGATCACGGACTGTGGATCACTTCAGATGGCTCAACTTGCGATGAACCTTATGAAGCTATTTGTATACTAGTCTCTGAACAGCACACTCTTGACGGTGCAAAGAACTATAGGTAAAATTAGAGATAGAAACTAAAGACTTCCCTTGTTCACATATGAAGTATTGGGTGCTAGGTGAATCGAAATAGGAGAAGAGAGTAGGAAAAGCCGTATAATACCGTTTCTGCTGATCTTGGCACCATACTCAAGGAGAGGATTATCAACACGCTTAGGTACTACTCGAGGCAGGGCACGGACTGATTTCCACACATTACTCCCCATAACGCGTGAAAGTTGCGCTATCATAAGTGGCGCTGCTTGCCATGCGCTCGATTCAAGGATCAAATAGGGATCGTACGACATCCAGGCCAACAAAACCTATCCCTCTGGGAGAAGCATCAGGCATATGTATCGGGAATGAAACGCTAAACGTTCTTATTGGCTGTCGCACGCGAGTAATTGTGTGAGCCGAATCGAGCTCGAAGCAACACGAAGCTAACCATAAGTGGAAAGAATTGAATGCATTGTGCGTCCTAAGAAAAGATTGGACAGGTTCCGTGCTTATAATTTTATCGTTCATTCCTTGGAATTTTAAAGAACTAACGTTTGCACCCTTGAATTAAGGAGCCCATGAAATTTTTCCATATGGGTTCGGTGTCTTGAATCCCACAAAGGCAGATCCTGAAGTAGAGGAATTGATTTGGTCTTTTCGAGAAAAAAATTTGCTTTGTCTATAATTTCAGCTTACTCACGCCAAATACGCTATCCTTCATGAACCCTTCGAGCTCCTTTTTGGTAAAACCTGATGAAGCGTTGACTGGCACCACTGGAACGAAGAAAAAAGTACAGAAACACGTACACAGCTCATTTTGGGAAGTTGTTTATTAGAGGCACACTTTTGACTTCGGAGCCGAAGCTAATATCCCTTGTCAGGATCATCAATTGTCTGGACCAGGAACAACAGTGACATCGTGCCCAGCTCTAGCTAGTGATTCTGAGACTCGTTTGTTCCATCCCACCTGAACAAGCAAAATCGTTGTTACATAAATGTATGGATTAGTGGACAATTTTTTTAAACTCTGACGTGGAAATGATCTATTAGGTTGGTCCATAAGTCTTGCAACAAACTACATTTAATGCTAGAGAATTTTTGTGAGAACTCCGAAAATCCGCAACATATTTGTTGACGTAGCATCCACCTTTGCAATTTCAGCCAACCGTCCAGCTCGTTGTCTCGCTACTTGTTATGGATATTACACCGATTTCGCGAAAAGCTCTTGTGCCCTTAATTTTTACGAGTACTGCTTGGAATGTTCCGCAGGTCACCAAGGATCAACACGTTGACGACAGGCTGACGCGCATGCGCGTCAGAACTATGTCATTCATTTTTATTGTGCTTGCGCTCCTTCTTCTCGAGTTTTTTGTATTCATTCTATAGATAATACATTAGCATAACTATAAACCACATGGCAGCCAGAGTGGTCAAATATCCCTTGATTTAGCAAAGATTTTCTGAACGCACAAAACTTTCATTTCAATTCTTTCCTAGTATTCCTTTCACTGTCGTAAACATTCATATGAAAGATTGTAGAAGCAGTTAATACAAAACTCTGTGAGTTTCAAGATATTTGTATTTGATGGAAGAACTTAGGTATAAATGCTTTTAACTTCATTCGCAGCGAAAGTGATGTTTTTTGCTTCTTCGTGGTCATTATGCGTTCTTCTAAACAAAAATCTACTGCTATTTATATAGTTAACCTTTATGCTTTCATCCTTGCCGAAATAATTCTATGAGATTCAAGTTGTTGTGCATTTTAAAAAAAATAAGCGGAAGGTGAGGACGGCGCGCTCGCAAAATCGCTCCTGTCCCACGCGGTGCAAAATGCCAAAACACGCGATGTCGTCAACGTGTTAAGGTAGATGGATGAGGCACATTCTCTCAATTCACGGTGCGCAGGCGCTTCACT